CAGAGCACAGTGCTTATACCATAATCCCAGCAGAGAGCATGATGGGACTAGAAGATGTAGGGCGTGGTCTGTTGGTAGGAATAAGAGCAGCCACCACTGCAGCAGGGGACTGATAAGGAAACAAGAATGAAAGAGAAAAGAGGAGAGGAAGAGGAAGAATGAATGGAAAAGGAAAGGTGAAGCAAAGTTCAAGTACAGAGAAACAGTAGCTGGAGAGAGACTGGTCAGAGCCGTTCTTGCCCTTCACTCACATACTGCCATGTACCTTGGTGGTGACTTCACTAGGCTCATTGTTGTTGTGCTCTACATTTCCATTGCCATTCATGTTCTTTTTGGAATCATCGATGTCTGGAACATTCATAGAACCCTTCTTCTTCTTCAGCTTGGCCAGGATTGAAGACTCCCTCTCTGGGAAAGGAGGCATCTCTTCTAGCACTGTGGCCTGAGAATAAAAAAGTAAATATAACATGGTACAAGATAACTATTACAATTAAGACAAATTACTAGTAAAATATATTAGGTCTATATTTTCTCTACAGGCAGATTTGAACAATTTAGAGGTAATTGAGCCAAATGAATACAATAAACATCATTCATGGTTTTTGCTATAATTAAGCTATGGATCCTCTGAGATCAAGATCTGGACATAGGGCCCAGATCCTGACAGAGCAGAGGAACAGATTAGATGACAGATTATATCTAGAGGAGAAATTTCCTTATGGGGACAATAAAGTCTAAAGATACAATTACACAAATATTACTAATACACATTGATAAAAGACTAGAGCTGTAGGCCTTTAGTCATCAGTTGATAGTGTCTTAGTTAATCAAATTTTCTTTTTGTTGAATATTAATTTTAGTCTAATTTAAAAAATAGGGAATTTATCTTGTCTTTTTTTTTTTTTTGATGATGTGAACATGACCTCTTCTGTGTGTCTTGTCTTTGTAAGTGCAGTTTTGATGTATCCTTTTATATGCACTAATAATGTGTGTGCGTGTGTCTAGACTGACCAGTATGTCTGTGCTGGCGATGGAGCTGAGCCTCAGGTACTCCACTGCCCTCTGTTGGAGCTCCACGTCAGCATTGCGGAGTTGGCTGTCAGAGCGTAGCACATCTTGGATGGTGCCCTTCACTTCAGGGAACAGGTTGATGAACTTGATGTAGGCGGACAGCAGCAGGGCCCGTGTCGGCACAGAGCACAGATGGAACTTTGAGTGGAGAAGATTGAACTGCACCAGGGGGCTGAGGGGTTAAATAAATAAATTAGCTATTATTTTTTGTTTTCCAAGAAGCATACAAAGTTAAGCCTTTTTTACCTTGAGCGGGAGTCACCAGCAATGAGGTTACCAAATTCTCCCAAAATGTAGCCTCCAACTTTAACTAGGTTCTCGTGGCAAGCAGGGGCCTGTAGTGCCTGTGAAATTATTCAAATTCAGATTAACTTTTTTTCTCCCAAATTCTTTGTCCTTGTACTTGATATCAGGGCCACGTAGCCATAGGCAATAGACAACATAGACCCAACTGAAATTCTTGCCCACCTATAACCTACTACCTACAAATACACATATACATAGATTGCACATCTAAAATTTCAAATTTCAGCACGCTAGAACCAGTTATATAGTTTGAGTGACGAGTGATAACCTATTACTTCTACAATCAGCTGACTGTAGATAGTCTGAACACTTTTAATTAATCAATATGCACAAATGTTTCCAAAAATCTTCAATAGTATTCCCACAATGCATTACACCTCTATAGTAACAACTTACTCAACTGTTCCCCTACACTGTAACATTATCTGAACTCCGTATCAAGTATAGAAATGATTCATGTGCATTAGTAGCCGCAGAAAGTTTTTGACAAACCCCATCCTGCCCACAGGTCAATTTGTGGTGATTGAAAAAGACAACATCTTTATGACGAAAAATACCACAGAGAAGACTGAAATAGGATCTGTCTGGTAGTATCAACACACTCACCTCAAAGACAGTCTTAGCTGCATAGCCCTGCACATCGTCTCTGTTTATGACAATCTGGATGACCCTGTACCACACCTCCTCACTGACGTAGTCTCCGGCGATACGGATGAGGTTGAGAATGGTGTCCACGTACCATGTGTAATCAACAGCGTACTTTTCTGCCAGGATGGCCACTTTGAGCACCTAGGGAACAGTGATACTTATGCCTGGTTTTGTTACTCATTAATGAAGAAGTTTATAGTAAAAAGCAAGCTCTCTCACTATCTCTTCTCTGATGGAGTAGTCTGCTGTCTCCAGGTAGCTCAGCATCTCAGCTACAATCTGCTTGGAGTTGCTGCGGTCACACATGGCATAGAGCAGGTCCACGGCACGCTGGCGAACACTCACATCTCGTTCAGTCTGCAATGGCAAATATATACATATTTAACAAAAGCAGGTTGAATGGTCACCAACCTCAACTTCTTATTCAGTTTGTATGAATGAGAATAAATTATTATTAGAATAGCTAATTGTGCAG